AAAAAAAAAAAGAAAGGATTCTTAAAAGGTGTTTGGTTGGCTAGTGGTACACTGCTATAATCCCAGCACTTGGGAGGTAGGGGCAAGCAGATCACAAGTTTGAAGCCATCTATGTTAATTTAGTGAGACCTTATCTCCAAAAAGAGGAGGAAAAGGAGGAGAGGACAGTTACTTTGTGTGTATGCCAGTTCTGGGGCTTGACGTCAGGGCCTGAGAACTGTCCCTGTGCTTTTGTGATCAAAGCTAGCGCTCTACCACTTGACCCTAGTTCCACTTCCAGGTTTCTGGTAGTTAACTGGAGATAGGAGTCTCACAGTCTTTCCTGCCCGGGCTGGCTTCAACTGCAATCCCCAGATCTCAGCCTCCTGAACAGCTAGTATAACAGGCGTGAGCAACCAGTTCCCAGCTTAAAGGTTCATTTTCTAACTCTAGGAAACGACATAAATCCAAAAAGCAAATACATGCATCATTCTTTTTTAGTTGAGTGCAAGTCGCATAATATAAAACTCACTTTAAACTGTACAGTTGACTCTTTTTCCATATATAATTGTGTAACGATCATCAATTCCAGATTATTTCAAAACACTAGCTAAACTTTTCAGATTTTTCTATAGCCTAGTAAATGAGTCCTGTTCAGACTAAAACTATGCTTTATAAGAATTATTAGGATTAAGCCAGGTGTCAGTGGCTTATGCTTGTAGTTCTAGTTAGCTACTCAGGAGGCTAAGCTCTAGGATCATAGTTCGAAGCCAACCTGGGCAGGAAAGTCCATGAGACTGTCATCTCCAATTAACTACCAAAAAGGCATTAAGTGGAGCTGTGGTTCAAGTGGTAGAGCACTCGCCTTGAGCTGAAGAGCTGAGGGACAGCGCCCAGGCCCAGAGTTCAAGCCCCACGACTGACAAAAAAAAAAAAATTCTGTGGATTTAAGAATTTTTACAAAAATATTCCTTCCCTCCTGTGACAGGTTGCGTGATGAGAAAATGAGAGAAAAACAACGCCACCAAGAAGAAAGATTAAGAGCTGCTCTGGAAAGAGCGGTAGCACAACCAAAGAAAAAGGTCTGTTTTGTTCTCAGAGACAACAGTATTCAAGGGTCTGTTTCTGTGATGCAAAATCAAAATACCTTCTAACTTATCTAAACGAAAATATTGTATATGTATGTGCACATGTCAAGAATGAAACCTCCTTGCCAGGCACCAGTGGCTCATGCCTGTAATCCTAGCTACCAAAGAGGCTGGCACCTGAGGATTGTAGTTCAAAGCCAGCCTAGGCAGGAACATCCATGATACTCTTATTCTCCAGTTAACCACCAGAAAACTGGAAGTGGCACTTACAGCTGAAGAGCTCAGGCACAGTACCCAGGCCCAGAGTTAAAGCTCCATGACAGGAAGGAAGGGAGGGAGGGAGGGAGGGAAACCTCCAACACTAGCTATTAATCTTAGCTACTCAAGAGGCTGTGATGTGAGGTTCACGGGTTCGAAGCCTGTCTGGGCAGTAAAGCCTGTAAGCTTCTTATTTCCAATTAACTACCAAAAAAGCTGGAAGTAGGCCTGTGACTCAAGTGGTAGTTTTGAACAAAAGGCTAAGGAACAGTGCCCACACCCTGAGGTGAAGCCCCAGTAATGGCACCACTTTTTTTTTCTACAAAGAAACTTCCTGGTATGACAAAACTATAGTTGCTCATCTGAAGAAAGTACTTGGTTTTCTGAGAGGTTTTTTGGAGGGTCAGTTGTGGGGCTTGAACTCAGGGCCTGGCCCTATCTCTGTGGTAGGCTATCACTCTACCACTCTGATCCACAGGGCCACTTCCTGTTTTCTGATGATAAACTGGAGACTCCTAGACTTTCCTGCCCAGGTTGGCTTCGAACCAGAATCCTCAGATCCGTCTTCTGAGTAGCTAGGATTACAGTATAAACCACCAGCACCCAGCTGTTTTCCGTGGTTTTTAATCTCTCTCAATCATGGAAGGAAAACTCACTTATGGCACTTGTTGAGAAATCAAATGTTAGTTTCTAATATGGTGTTAGACTGGCCATTATCTGGATCTTCCCTTTTCAATTTGCCATTTAAGTTTGCCTAGAATGTTGGACATCCATTAGATTATCCCTTGGAACTGTGAGTAGTATTTTAAAGTTTTGTTCATGTAAAAACCAAGTCAACATTAACATTTTATGTACCTCAATAGAACAGAGCTAGCTATTAGTATTAATATTGTTTTCCTTTTGTTTCAGTTGGGAAGACGACTCGTCTACCGCTCAAAACCTCTATCTTCTAACAAAGAGGAAATAGTTCTAGTCACTGACTCACGAGCAAAATCACTGGAGGAAGAGTATTTTTTTAGTTGAAAAGGAGCAACAAGATTTTTATTACAAATGTTTTCATAGATTTTGACTGAGTAATGGCAGATCCTGCCACATACACTGTCCTAATTTAAGGAAGACAGACCCTTATTGCAAAGGTTTAGGATCGGAGTTATTTTCCTTTTTTTGTTGAAGCTTCCTATTATTCTTAAGTACTATTCCATACGGCTAAACATTTGTCTATTTTGAGTTGTCCCACTTAGGGATATACCTATATATAGGGAAATGACCATTAAGATGTAATAACAGCCGGTTCTCTGACATGAGAATTTAAATACTATTTTCTCAACTGGACTAAAGGGAAGTTCATAGTATGCTCTTAACAGTATGGAATGTACATTAAGGGTGTACAAAGCAGCACATACACCAAAACTGGAACGATACAGAGCAGAGTGTACAACTCTAAAAGTCTCGAGTTTTTTTGATAATTAATGGTGTCAGAACATACCCCTAAGACTGTTTTCATTTCACATTAAGTTCTGTTCAGAAAAGTTTCTCTCAAGTGAACAAAGCACAGCCCTTTGAACCTAAATGTCAGGTCACTATTTCTGTTGTGTCCTATCTCCACACTGTAATTTCTAGGTGAGGTTTCAACTTTAGCCATACTATGTAATTTGCTTAGCATATACTGATAGAGAATATGCATGTAGTTTGCTAAGTAATACAGTATGTATTAATAAGAAATGTTTAACTTTATACATGTAAAAAGTGGCTTAAGAACCTTAAAGTAGTTGCTTTTAAAAGGTTTCATTTAATAGATAAGGGCTGAAATTCACTTTCATAACACCATTCAAGGGATATATTCGCTTCTTACAGAAAAAGTATTAACCTTACAAAAAAAAGAATGTGTCATTTCAACAGTATAGTTTCAACAGTGAGTTTTGCATGTAAATACCTACATATGAATAGTAAGCAATTCAGACTGACAAATTTTTATTGTCTAGAAATATATATATAAAAAAAAACACAAAAAGGCGCCATTCTTTCATTTCCCATCTTTTTTTCAATACCTTCTGTCACAAGATGGACTGGAAAAAAATATTGTCTAGAAATATATATATAAAAAAGATCCCCCAAGTGGCTATTCTCTCATTTCCCCATCTTCTTCTTCTTCTTCAACACCTCTGATATAAAGGACATTGTTACATCTGTAAACAGAAAAACAGTCCATTTTATTGTTTCAACTTGAAACCATCTATGATCTGTATTACCAGTGTTAGCTTTTCTTGATTATGAAAATGCAGAATACTAGCTTCTATTATTTCTTAAGTTTTATATAGATTTATTAAAGAACGTGTGGCATTTACCTTATAACATGTACTTGTCATGGCATTTTAATGACAAACTATGCCGATGATAGATTTAACAACTTCAAAGACTTTTGTTGTAGAGCACTTTGGTAAATAATGATTTTTTTTAAAGTAATTCCAAAACTGAAGCACTATTTATTTATACGATCATTTCTAATGTTTATCAGTAGTACCTTACATATATTACTGCTGTTATGTTACCTTATTAGAACTTCACCCAGATGTCCAGACAATGCCCCATCTATGTATTCTTCTGTATTTGCAAGCTTTAAATTAAAAAGAAAATACATGTAAGTTTAATCATGAAAAGAACAATATAATATACCTACTGATGAGAACATATTAGCCGAGTCTTCTCTATGCCAACAACTCAAATCTGTCTATACTACACAAGATCAGCTTCTATTACTACTGTAATGCTTTTGTTTCAAACATTCAGTATAAAATAACATTTATGAATGTAAATATACAATAAAGCTTGTTTCAATGTGAGTTGTTAAACCTTTCAAGTTGCATATTTTCAGTAGATATATAAAGTGTGTGGAGAAAGGCAGCCTCTAAATTGGATGTGGCACTGTGTCTCTTGAGCTTGAGCAAAAGAGCTCAGGGACAGCACCCAGGCTCTGAGTTCAAGCCCCATGACCAATAACAAAAAATTCTACTGGAGGTATAGCTCAAGTGGCAGACATTCAGCTTAGCAACTAGTCTAGGCTCTCAGTTCAAATCATAGAACCTGCCAAAAAAAAAAGGTTTTCTGAAAATTCGGTTCTAAAGAACTGAAATCATTTTTTCATGTAAATTAAATCATTCTGAGGTCTTCAAACAGCTATACAAAAGCTATGGCTAAAATGTATTATTCAACAAAGCTAAAGAACAGAACAATAACTATTTAAAAATGTTTATGTACTAATAAACTTAAAAAAAAAAAGAAAGGATTCTTAAAAGGTGTTTGGTTGGCTAGTGGTACACTGCTATAATCCCAGCACTTGGGAGGTAGGGGCAAGCAGATCAC